TCTCTCTCTCTCTCTCTCTCTCTCTCTCTCTCTCTCTCTCTCTGTCTCTCTCACACACACACACACACACACACACACACACACACACACGTGCATTATTGTCTGTGTAATTTAGATTATTATTTATTCAGTGTTTCTCTCTCTTCTAGATAATTTACCTCAAGAAAACGCCAGATGAAGCTTATCGTCCTTTGATTGGTGGATCAAGCCCACCTTTTCTTCCATTTCGGTCAGTAAAAATTTGCTTTGTTAGGATCTCTTATCTTAATGTTTGTTGTTAATTAATCTGCTTGTTACTTTCCTTTTTTCTTATTTAGGGATGCATCCTTTGGCCTATCTGTGTATCATGTTACGCTTTTGGATTGTCTAAATGCTGTTTATAAAGCTTTAAATTTAGGGTTTTTCAATTTTGAAGATTTTGATGTTGAAGAATATGAATACTATGAGGTAAGAGTGTTGGATTTTTTACGGTGTTGGTTTATCAGAATTCAAACGTCAAAATTACTGCATTGTCTTTTTTTATTTGTTTCAAGAGGGTTGAAAATGGAGACTTAAATTGGATAGTACCTCAGAAATTCATCGCCTTCTGCGGACCTCACGCTAAAAGCAAAATAGAAAACGGTGAGTCTGAGTATATTGGTAAAACTTCTCTTGCTTATATGTGAAAAATGTGTGAACTTTATGTACTGATTACTTGTAATTTTTTTTGCAGGGTACCCCTTGCATTCACCAGAAACATATTTCACATATTTTCGACGGAATAATGTTAGTTCTGTGGTACGACTTAATAAAAAAATCTATGATGCAGCCCGATTCACTGATGCAGGATTTGAACATAGAGACTTGTTTTTCATTGATGGAAGTACTCCAAGTGATCAGATTCTTAGACAATTCATAAACATCTCTGAAAATGCTCCTGGAGCAGTTGCAGTACATTGCAAAGGTAAAATCAGTAATGTGCATTTTTATAATTTATTCCCTCCAGCAATAAATTAGCACTTTACTTTTTCTATCCCAAAATTCCTTTCTTGCATGCAGATGTATAGCTTCTGTAGATAATATACTTTGTCTTTGCACTTTTATGATGGGTTGTAAAAATAGGAGAGATTTGGAAATTTATAGTAATAATGATGTGCAGTGCAACTCAAATAGGATAGGTTTGCAGTACTGTTGGGGCAGCTTGATTTTTTAATATCTCAGGGGCAGCATGAAATTTATAAATGCAGTGGATGACTCAATTTTTCAAATCTAATTTTGCATGTAAGATTTCAAGTTAAGATTTCAATATGCGAAAGCAGTGGTCTTTCATCTCCTATTGTTGGAGACTCAAAAGTAGTACCAACCTTTCTTAATTTGGACCAATTGCTTCTGCAAAGCACCTCACTTTCCCCATCCCTATCCACACTATCTCCCCATCCCTATCCACACTATCTCCCCATCCCTATCCACACTATCTCCCCATCCCTATCCACATTATCTCCCCATCCCTATCCACATTATCTCCCCATCCCTATCCACACTATCTCCCCATCCCTATCCATACTATCCACACTATCTCCCCATCCCTATCCACACTATCCACACGATCTCCCCATCCCTATCCACACTATCTGCCACTCACTTCTCCACTTATATTGCTTCTCTACTTCTTACTCGATGTTTTTCTTTCGTCTACCCTTCAGGCATGTATATCTTTTATTAACTATACTGAAGAGATGCAAAGTAAACAAAGTGCATTAAAGAAATGAGTATGCATCATAGGGAATGAATGTAGAATGAGATGGGCCAAAAGAAAAATCCAAAATAGGAAGGCAACATTGCACCTAAATATTAAAAATGGGCCCTCTGAATATGAAGTATTCTTATTTTCAAATAAATTTTCATATTATATGGCAACATAGGCCTTCAAGGAAAAAACTTTAATATTGATGTGTTACAAACAACATGCTGCAAAATTAATTGAATGTTTATATCCTTCTCCTTTTGAAGGATAATACATCCAAATAAACATTTGGGCACATGCTTTTTTGTTAATTATACAACTGAATTGAACTCGCATGGTGCAATGCATGCATACATACAATACACATACTTCATGTTGTGATTATAGCACTACATCTTTCTAAACCCACAACAGAACTTTGCAATCATTAAAAAATTGTTTTTAGTTCCCCTTTATAAGTTAACGGAAAAGTGGAAAATTTTAAGCATTATGACTTCTGTAAAACATCACACTTTCAAAAATAAAAAAATGGTCTGCAAATATGTTAAGACCTTAAGACATTAGGACATGCTTCAACAATGCTACGTTGTTTTTCCCTTAAGAATTGTCCCCAGGTTTCTTAACAGCTGAAAATCATTATTAGCTATAACACTCTGACTTCTCTGTTTGTTATAAAATGACAGGGTCATTGTAATTTCATTACATCATCTCTGATCCCCTAGTGAATTCTTATGAGCAATATGAAAGGAAGTAGCCAGGAGAATTTATTGGAAGAAATACAAACAGAGTATTGAAAAAGTTCTATTTTACAATTTTTTTAAAATTATTTTGTTTTTCTCACTTAATGTCATTTCATCTACATTCAAATTGAACCTCCTAAATTCAAGAAATGTTTAAAAAAGAATTAAGGAAATTGTTGATTCTGACAGCTTCCCAATCATTTTGAATAAAAACAGATTATTAGGTATTCCTGTACTAATTTACCTAGTATCTCAAAATATTAATTTGAAAATTAATGGATATCTTACATGTGCATTAAATTTAGAAATCTGAAATCTTACAGAAATCCATATGAGACCACCATGTAATGGAAATTGGTCCAAGCCTAGAAGCTGTATGAAGTTAATATAGCAAGTCAGTGAATTAGACATTTATGGGTCTTATCCAAAATAGTCAGCAAAATTATCTTAATTGTATGCAACACTAACAATTTCATGAAATTTTGTATTAAGTAATTTTTCAGATTTCTCTTAGAATGAAGTTTAAGGATTTTGCCGAATATCTGGTCTGTATGGATAACATTCGTAAGCCAGAAAAAGAGTGTTACTGTAAATTTATGCAATTCTCAGTTCTTATACCTTGCTGCTTTCTATACACACATTGCATATCTATGAATGTGTTTGTATACAGCATATGGATCTTAATTTTTGTTACAGGGAAAATTTTAAGATCTTCATTTTCAAAGTGTGAGAGGGTTCTTGTTGCATTGCCTTGACCTTTTAGTTTTCTCTTCTCATTCATAATCTTATATTTTCCTTTTGGCTTTTTTTGTTTCTTATTTTACCTTCATTCAGTCTGAGTTTTTCTGTAGTTAGTTTCGTTTAGTAGTCTGCTACATGTACTAATTTTCATTGTGTTGCACAAGACTGAATGGAAAAAAACCTTGAGAGGTATGCCCGATGCAAGCGTATCTACTTCGAAGTGGAATGTTTAATATTACAAGTGCAAGTAAATGAAAGAGTGAAATATTTACAAAGTTTATTCAATATCACCATTTCATTGCAAATATCACCAATCTAAAAGTTTCAAAAAATGAGTTTTTGTGTTGTTGGTTCGTTAAAATGTTTCAGAAATGTTTTAAGAATGTGAAGCTTATTATCTTGTAAAAATAATATTGTTTAACGTTAAAAATTCATCCTTTTCCAGCTGGTCTTGGTCGCACAGGCTCATTGATAGGGTGCTATATTATGAAGCATTATCATTTTACTGCTCATGAAACAATTGCTTGGATTCGAACATGTCGCCCAGGATCGATTATAGGTTATCAACAACAATGGTTGGAAGAGTAAGTTAATTTTTTAATGTTCATCCTGTCTCTAATTCTTATTGCAACAAGTTAGTGTCAAAATATTTCTTTTGTTTGTTGCTTGGTAAAATTATGCTAAAATGTAATTATTTTCTTCTATAGAAAACAGTCATCAATGTGGCTACAGGGAGATCTGTTTCGTTCACAAAATGGCCAAGATGCTAATTGTTACCCAGTGCATCAGTATGGAATTTACAGCATAAAAGCCAAATCCTTATCTCTTGAATCTACTTTTCTTACTGCTGATAATACCCTTGATTTAAAAACACCAGACAATGTATCTCGTATTCTTCAAAAAGTAGATACTATGAAACTGGATGATCAAGAAGATGAGAATAAAAATGATTCCTGTCATTCCAAATTAGATCTTATTGAGGTAAACTTTATTTTCTAACAAACATTTTTTTGCCCACATTCACTCTTTAAAAGACCTTTGTTATGTAGGATGCTGCCAACCAAAACAACGGAGAGACAAAAAGAAATAGCCATATGACCCAAGGAGACAAATTGAACCAAATTAAAGCGTTACGAAGGCATCCTCGTTCAATTACTACCGGAGCTTTGCAGTAAGTTGAACTATAATGGTTGTTGTTTTTGAATAACATACGTTAGAAACATCTTTTTTAATGAAGTCTTTGATTTGCAAACTTGTTTTACTTTCTTGTACAAACTGCTATTAAATAGTATAATTTATCTTTAACTGAAAATATTCTACAAGAATTAAAATTTCTCGGGTGTAAGTTTAAGTGTTGTCTCAAAACTCTTCTTGCTCAACACTTGCTTCTGTATTATACCTAGCTTTCACTATTAGGAACTTACCTATTTCAGGAAAATTGCTAAAAATTCCAGTTTCAGCCATAGTTGTTGCTTATCCTTTTGTGACATAATCTATACTTTATTTTTTAAGGAAAGTATTACTTGAAATGTGTTGTTTTAATATTATAGTTTAGAAGATGGACGTCCACATACCAGAGCAAAATCCCAGCCTCTTCGCAGTGGTCAGCCAAGTCCAGCTCCTCAAACAATTTTATCACCTCTGAAAGCTACTAAAGTGAGCACAACCATTGTTGCTGCTCATAATAAAGAAAAGGATAAGGAAAAAGAACGTGAAGTTGCATCGGCCAAGAGACCTTCACGGACTCCAACTACTGTCACAAAAAGGTATAGTGTTATGTCTGTATACACACAGCAATCCAGTTTTTGTTTACTAAGAAAGAAAAAGATGTTAAAGAGTAAAAGATGCATGTTACTTTGCAATTAATGTGTGTGTTTTGATATGGAAAAGTTTTTATATAGAATATACAAGTAAAATACTGGTGATAGTACACATGTTGATTGAAATATATTACTCACGACTAGTGTGTAATTATCTGGTTCATTTGAGCACTTCAATACTTAAAAAATTTTATTTAAATTATAGGGATTTTGTTCTTAATGATTTAATTTTGCTTGCTGTGGACTAAAATCTACAAATTACTTAATTTTTTATTCAAATTTTTGAAGTGTCAACTGAATTCTACACATGTAACAAAATTCATCCCAGAATTTCATGAATAGATTCTTGATACAGAAAAACAAGAGACATAACATTACAATATGAGTTTGGAAATGCTTAATTATGGGGTTAAGACTTGCTAGTTTGAGCACTCCGATCATGTACCACAAGATATGTTTTGAGTGACTTCCTTTTGCCTGAATAGAGGCCTCTGTAAGTCTTGGCATTGAGTGCAGAACATATTCAAATATAATTGGTGTGTAGTGCATACTGACTGATACGATGCCATAATTTAAGTACAAAGAGTTTATCTTGTGTTAAGTCGAATACACAAAAGACGTGAATCTCCCAGTGTTTGGTGAGTGTGTAAACCTTCTGAGTTTGTAGGTTAGGATGGATTCCTTCAAAGGTCTGTTGATCTGGTAATCTGAGAGTTAGATATTGTTCCTGGCACAAACAAAGCACTCCAAGCATTGTTATCCAGCAAACCATACATGTAATGCTTGCACGCAAATTCTTATTTTATGGACTTTGTTGTAGTATGAATATCAAAGAAGATAAACTTCTAAAACAAACAACCATTTACTTGTGCTAAGATGTATTCAGTTCATGTATTTGCAACATGATTATTAATGTATCAATTGTGACCATCTTGTCTTAGTGCACGACTATCTCTGAACTAACATTTGTAAAAGTTCAGAAATTTTGCATTAATAAAAGTTACGATAACTCTTTACTTAATCATTTCTGGACCAATGTTATAATGGACTTTCTCTCTTCTCTCTGTATGAAGAATCTATTCCTGAAGTGGTTACATCCTGTATGTATGTGTGTGGTATTATTGACCAGACTAGTTTGATTACAAGTAGTGTTGTGAGTATGTAGAAGAGTTTTATTATATAAAAGGATTTAAAAAAAATAAATTTTACATTCTTTTAGTTCTCTATTAACCTATTGCAATGTACTTATTCACCAGTGAATACTGTTCCTAAATAAAAATGATGTGGCTAATTATGATGCATTTGAGTCTTGGGTACATTTGAATCGTAGTCAGACTGAAATTAGTTTACAGACATGCTATAAACAATTATGGAAGGTTTATCATAGATATTCCTGCAGTTTGTGGGACAGAAAATAGTTTCATCTATAGTCAGTTATTTTGTTATGTTTATATTTATAATTGTTGAGTATTATAATATTACTGTACTTCTATTAATTTTTTCTCGAACGATGATATTTGTAGAATTCATTAAATTATCTTTATGAAATTTTTTTCTTTATAATCAAGCATGGATATTAGAAGCGATTCTCATAGTCAATGCAATATCGTTTGGCTTCATAAAGCCGTTTATTGAACTTTTAATATTTGTTGATAATTTCCCCAAGTTTAATCTTCTTCTGTTATGTTAATTTTTTCTTATGTAATAGTACTGAAAATAAAATTTAATCATGAAGGGATTTGCTTCTTTAATTATAATTCAAGTTAGTCCTTCAGCCATTGTCTTATGTGTGGAAGAGAAACTGGTATGCTTCTGGCTTTCTTAAATAACCAGAATCAATGAATAACCTAGTTCCTGTTCTGGAAGTCTTTTTAGTCAAATACTGATTTCAATTTGCTCTTTTTAATAGTTAAGTAAATTGTTCACAAACTGAAGTTGGAAGTTTCGTTTATTCATTTATAGATTGTGCATGGCATTATCACTTGTACTTTTTTTTCCTATGCAACATTCAAGTATCAATAACATAAGATAAATCATAATTATCAGATTCGTTATCTCCGGGTAATTTTTCTTTAAATGCATCTCCACTCCATTGAAGTGATGTTTCTAGTGCGCTGGTTTATCAGTGAAGAAATTATGGCATGGAATCGGACAGATAGAAGTGCAGCATGTTGTATTAACTAAGCATCAAATTATGTAAATGTTTGAAGCCTTTTTTATTGTCCCTTCTCAAAATTGAACACTTTGGTGTAAGTAATGTTTAAGTTTTGCCTGCTTAATCCACAGTCAGGTGCTAGCCATCTGTCAGATGGAGCAATATACTTTCCCACTTCCTTGTTGATGTCAGAAGGCTGTGTTTTCCTCAGTAGCTTCCTCTTTTGTGACACAATACACACACAAGTTAAAACAAACATACTTGGACCTTTCTATACTCTTGAGGTAACAAATAATTTATTAAATTAGATGTGCCCAATCTCATTACAGTTTCCCATCTTTTCATGTGTAAATTTCCTGGTAACAATGAGTAAACGAAATTTCTGTTAAAATTACATGCTTAAACTCTCTAACAAAAAGTAAATAGTATGCTACTTTACATTTGAATATTTTGCTGGTAATGGTTAGGAACATTGTTAATGTTTCTATTTTATTGATGAACATGTTCGTAAGTAATTAAGACTTATCATTGAATAATTTGGTACATTTCTATATGTGTTTGCGTGTACAAATTACATTAAATACAAATTTAAAAATGGTTAATAAAACCTACCTGACTTCATTTTTATATAATAATCCCTTGGATGAATTGTGCCCGATGTTAGATTGTGAGCAATCGAGGATGAAAATGCTATTTCAATTTCGTCTTGGATCATTGTATGCAAATAATAATCTATCTGCAATATACACAATCGAGAATATTGGCAAAAAGGATCTTACTTGCTGAGGTCATCAGACAAATTTAGCAAATTACAAATTATTAAATTAAATATAAATTACTATTATTTTCAAAAAGTTTGAGCTTCAAAAAGCCTGTCTAACACAGCTTTGCTACAATTGTTGACAATATTACCAATGTTCTGGCTGATTCTGTCATGGTAGGCTTTGCATTACATATACATAATACTCAGTGACTTCTATTAAGCAATAAAAAATATGAAGTCCAGTAAGAAAATTTATCAATTTTCATTAATTTCAAAATATATTTTAAGTTATTCCATTTTTGTTTTCCTGACATACTTTGTTTCCACTGTACAACTGGTTTCCATATAATGAATTGTAAATTCCTAATGTAATATTTTCTGTTAATATCTCATTGAATACAGATGTTTAATACAAATGTGTAGTTATTGGTTGCTTGCTTGACTTAAAAGGCTTCTGCTTTAAAGGGCAAAGCATGTAATAAAATCCATTGTACAGGAAATAGCTGTTACGTTTGTTCAGAAACTCTTTAATGTATAACAGCCTATTTTTAAAAGTAATTTTATAAGTAAAATTTACGAAGGAAGTTAATCCAAAAAGTTATCATGGTAAATTTATTAAAACAGTTTGGACAGTTAATATTTATTTTAAATAAAAAGCATATTCAGGAGAACACTAATTATTCTAATTAAATGGAAATCAGACTGATTATGGTATGCGAAAAATTAAAGTGATTGGATAAAGCTCAGAATAAAAAAGATATCCGGAATTGAAGGTGAGGGGGATTCATAAAATTAAGTCGAACATTAGCTTCAGAAATACTGTTACACTTGCATTTTAAAGAAATATCAAATTAAATTATTTATGAAAGTTGTGTAATACTGTAATTTGAGAACAAAAACACATGTTCATACATGTTATTATATGCATACATTTTCCTAAATTTGATCTTTTATCTTTTTTTCATTTTTTTCCTCCCCAATCAATTAAACTAATTATCAATCAGATAATTAGTTTAATTATAATGATACTCGCATTCAAATCTTCAGTATCAAATTTTGTTTAGCTGGTATTCGTAGAAAACACTCTCTTCTTGACTGTTAAATTTCTTCCTGTTGAATTTTGGCAGTCCAGGACGATCCAAATCTTCAGTCTTTTTGGCTGATATTTCAGCCAACATATTGCAGCCTTACTCCGATCTGTATTGCAACAATTATTTCTTTCTGTTCTTCTCTCTTCCTTTCTTCTCCTATCTCTTTCTTTCTTCTCTATTTTCTTTTCTCCTCTCCTCAGTTTTACAAATTGAATAGTTCTTTTGACAGTGTCCTAGGTAATGCATTATGATGCGATCTTATTGTATGGCTTGTGAAAAAATCTTTGGTATTCAAGACTGTGCCAGATTTCTTTCTTCTAATTCCATGCCATCATTTTTGGGCTCTTTTCTAATTATCAGGATCAAATTACACTACCCGTAATTGTTGTTATTTAATTTACCACTAAAAATTACTAGGAGGGCCAACAATCATTAAATAATTTTATTAAGATAATCAGTTATCCTATTGCACTTTGAAATTAATTAATGGTTTTCAAAATCTATACATTTTAATTGTTTCATGTCATGTAGTCGGTTATTTATTAATAGTCAATTCATAGCACTATAATTCAATGAAGAACAACGACAAAATCATGTTCATATGTCATTTTTCTTACTATTTGTCTTGTCTCTACTAATAACATTGAAATTAATTGTCTTTGCCTTTAAGTAGACATTTACTTGCATTTCTTTATTAATATTACTACTGTAATTAATTTTAAATATATATTTACTTGGATTTCCTTTTTCCAGTAGGAATTCGAATTAAATAATATTAAGGTATTTTTATTAAAAAAATGTTTTGCTATTTCAATCAAATTTTTGCTTAATGTGTATGAATTTGTAGGATATTAAATGCATTGGTAAATGCAGTGTTGGAAGATAAATTATAAGTGACATTTTCTGTGTGTTTGAAACATGTATATTAATTTGTTTT